GGGGGGGGGGGGAGAGAAATCCATTAAATAACGCCACGCAAATTTTGCTGACGCTGGACCCTCCCTCCCCCATGGTCACACAATTTAGACACTCATAATAGATCTTCACAATTAATTTACCTCCACAATTTGTGTCCTGAAACTGATGTGGCATCGGATAATTACGGGGTGTAAATGAAAATGTACAGGGTTTCTTTCAGCTATATCTCGGGGGGGGGGGCAGCGCTCCCCCGGGGAAAGCCAAGTGCCCCCCCCCGAGCAAACATGTCCAACGATAAATCAACTGGAACTGCTGGCACTGCCCCCCCCCTTAAATCTGAGGTGCCCCCGGGGGGGGCCGGGGGGGCGAAATTTCTGAAAGAAACACTGTAAGTGTAAGAGGATCACCGTAATGAGGAAGAAAAACAATTTAATCATCGACTTTGAATGCAAAAAGGGGGAAAGGCACAAAATCGAAAAGTTGCAGAGGATCTCCAAAAGTCACGCAATGTTTTAGGATACACAAATAAGAGTTATGCAAACTTTAACAGTTTGGCGTTTGGTTTGTGATGAGAACCGCTGATTTGCATGGTACTTTTTACGTCCCTTGTGTTTGCCCATGATCAGATTTTCATGTGCTAGGTCATGGTTCATAGGTTATAGGTCGCCCCAAGTCATGTGCCACGGAATTTAACGTAAATAATGCAACCAGGAACTAAATAAACTTACTTAATAGGACTATCCTGATATAAATTGTCGTTTTCCTTCCTTTGGTTTAAGTTTGTAAATTTGGTGACGTTAAGTTCGAAAAAGCACAATCATAACGGTATCGTATTAACTTCCTCGTCTTATTTTCATTGTTGTTTTACTTATTAATTAATTAAATTAAGTATTAAATTAAAACTGTAATGAATTAGTAATTAGTTTGAATAAGTTGAATAAGTCACGTCACATATAAATGTGGCAATGTGCCACTGTTTGCAACTGCTTTTAGGTAACCTTTTATATGCGGCAGTATGGAACAGATAGGAATAAGAGAATCCACTCTCATAGTCATAGTGTGACTGCTAGGGGTAACCCCAAGCACGGACACATCCATGGTCCACTCTCATAGTCATAGTGTGACTGCTATGGGTAACCCCAAGCACGGACACATCCATGGTCCACTCTCATAGTCATAGTGTGACTGCTATGGGTA